ATTTAATTCAGCGTTCTCGATAATACTTATCTGCAAACCAAATCGAGTCAGTTTTGACGTTCACGTAATCCAGAAGCCGTATAAAGGAAATTTTTGACATCAGTGTGCAGTTCGACAGTAGGCAAAGCATCAGTATGGCATTTGTTGCTAATCGTCTTGTGGCAGAAGTTAATTGCTCACATTCGGTTGCCTTTAAAGAGCGGGGACATATCGTCTCATTAAAAAGTTAGAAAAGATTCGTATGTGACAGGTAACATGGAACTTATTTTATAGCTCTGGCAGTCAACACTATAGCCTTCACCTTTTTGAAGTGAAATGATAACCACTTCGCCCCGCTTCTGTATTATTTGACCAGTTTTCGATCTTTAAGAAACGGCATATTCTTCAATAATCATCTGATTCAACGCTCGTTCTACTAGTTCAGGTTTTCTGTTGCCAATCCACTGACTATGTTACGGGATTATTTAAAAATCGATCTTTTTTTGATCAGTTCTTATATGTCATTGTTACTTCGTTTTTAGATGTCGTGAATAAGCTTAAAGCTCTTGCTATGCGCTTAGAAGTAAGCACAGATACGGGCGATTCCGGAGTTCATCAGCAGCTAATAAGGGAATCGTCAAATTATCTGTCAGCTATCGAAACTACGGATTTGAGCACAGCTGATAATTTCAGCAAAGATGGCTTTGCGAAAGCCGAAGAAGGTATGAAATCATGTTTTTATGAAAATTATTTGACTCAGATTTTACAGCAAGGATTCTTATTCTTCTTAATCTTACACGTTTTCAAGTTATGAAAAAAAGATTCAAATTATGCAGTTGGAATGACATGGTATTATGAAAATGCATAAATTGTTAATGTAAGTGCATGATTCATCCAAACCGAGTTTTACAACCTGTCGCATCGCTGTTGCTCGTAAGCCTATAGTTCATTATATCAACAAGTCACGGCACTATAGCATTTGAGTACAGGCAGTACACAAATGCATCATTTTGTTGGTTAAGACAGTGTTTTGTCCGTCATCAATGATGTTTTAAGAGTTGGTATTCTTTATCTGCTTTCACAGAAAATCGGAATCTAATAGTTTGTACTTTGGAGTATATTAAGTAGTACGTAACTCGAACAAATCATGTTTCAAAGCTTTCAGAGTATTGCTTTTTTATACCTTGCAGTTTAAGGAGCTATTTGAACAATTTACAGCAGTTCCTTAATATTTTGCACCTGAAGTGCATATTGGAGCAATTAATTAACCATGATTACTGGCTGAATGTCGTTATGCTTCAGGAGAATGACAACATTAGTTACTAGGTAATTTAGAGTTGGTTGTTCCTACTTCACAGATTTTGATCGTCCATGTCACGAAGTATGCTGTTTAATCTATTTTCTGACTGCAGCAAACGTTGTTCCGGCAGATTTTGGTACTTTGCCAAACTTTTGCCATCGACCTGCCAATTCCCTGATTTAATGGCTGATGACACGGCGAAGAAATTTTGAACCTTGAGAATTGATACAAAAATTACTTTCAATTTTTCCTTCTTGTTCTACAGTTAGGAGAATCCCTTATCATCCACCATGTGAATTATCGCATCGCAGACTACTTGAACCGTGAATAAGATATTAGGATAGTACAAGAACCTAATTGAAATGATGATTATGCTGATTTAGCGCCAATGCATAGAAGGAATTTTTGGTTTCAGTGGTTGAGGGTTCTGGAAAAATTGAAAAGTCGTACTCTAGACGTCATCTCAAACTGCTCTAACTAACTATGAATGGTAGCATAATTTTATTCCTGTAAGTGGAGAATATCTTTGAAATGTTGTCGCGTGAATAGTTTTTTGGCATCTTTTTGCTAACATCCTTTGACTTATAGGCTATAGATTTGTTCATGGTAGTGCAATGATATAAGTGACTGATTATGGACAACACGAAAATCTGTTAACATGATAGCTCATTGCTATAGTCAAATTTAATTTTAGTGTTGAAGAAAGTTGACGAATTTGAGAGTCAGCTGAAGTTCTTGTTCAACCGGTCGACGGATTTGTCTGATATAATAGAAAATTTTCAAAAGAACCTCTTTGAACTTTCAACTACTTTGAACAAGTCGTTAAGGCATGTCGCTGACGCGAATGAGACGTTGGATCGATTGGTCGAAGTGCCGTTTTACGTGAGTCGATGTGCCAGTTCGTCTAAGAGAAGCTGTTATCTAGCCGTTTGTTATCTTTAGAGCACTTTGCCGGAATTCGGTGTATTACCAATTGAGAAAACTCTGAACGAGGCATCGCAGATAGTTTTTAACGCGTCAAAGATGTTGTCCAATGCAGAAAAAACCGTTCAGGTGCACATGCTTCTTTATTGTCAGTATGTGCATGATCAATGTTATTGTCTGTTTAGGAAATGCGAATCAGTTTTGATGCCATAAACCAGACCGACTTTTCCCTAGAGAATAGCACGACGTCAATCAGCGATGTCATCGACGAGCTGCTTGATGCAAAATCTGCATGCAGTGAGAGGGCCAAATAGTATAATGTGTGACTTCGATAAAATGCATGATTTTTGGTTTGTTCCTTTTCAGCCTGATCGAGGAAGCTGAAAAACTGGAGGTGCAGCTAGCCGGTACACGAATAACAGCAACCGATGCGGTTTCCGCAGCGAACGCATATAAGTCAATGAAAAAGGCGCTAGAGAGTGCAGAAATAGCCGGCACGCGAATGTTGGAGACGCAGCATGCGCTGACCAGCGTAATTGCTTACTCTTCTGCAAAAAATTGTTGATTGATTTTTAACTCTGATTTGTAATGTGCATGAGGATTATCAGTTTTCAATGATCAGTGATTTTATGCAAGTGTATTAGGGGATTAGTCTGTTATACATCCAGTTTTTGGTGTTATCGTGATTAATCACGAGTAATAATGCATAAGTTGAAAAATATTATTCTTCCTTCTGGTGCATTCTCTTTAAAAGTATTCTTCTCTACGAGTAAGTTTCTACCAGATATTTCTATCATTGGTCAAAGCTTCTTTTTACGCCGCTCAGCGGGGTGTAGTTCACCAACCTTTTGGATTTTCGTTTCCTGATAGTACCCGTATTTGTAGCACATTTGTCACGTATTCCTCAGGATTTCGATTTCTAATGTTTCACCAACGGAGACTGCTATCAGTCAGCTATTCTGTTACTGGAGCATTCGCTAATGTTCTCGTAATGGTGACTTTTCAGATATACAAAAATTGAGTATTTTGTTCGTGCGCGAGAGATCTACTAAGTTGTACTGTCTTTTCGAACCGTCTTAACTATGTAACAATTTCCCGCTGTTTTTGAAGAAACCGCATACTTCAATGCTGAAGCTCAAGGCGAGAGATGACTCTTCATCTTCGCTGACTCGCGAGCAAACTTTCATGTATCCCGTTATATTCCTACCGTGACGAAGCCTGTTCTCTTTCAATAGTTGTTTTTCGCACTTAGGATTTCACTTGCGCTGCTTCTATTAATACGTTAGACGCAGAGTTAAATCGTCTACATGCAGAGTGCAGAATGAATCTACTTTCCGCAAGGTTTTCTTTTCACTCCAGCTCAATACACCAGTTTTGGTTGTTATTAATTGTTTAACCACCTTAAACCATCCCGTAAAACCTTAGCAGAGTTTGACATTTGAATGACAGAACCTTTATATGCACAGCTTGCCTTGGTCATATTAAACTATTTCAAGCATTATATCACATTTCAAATCAGAAGTAAGTCATTTCAATCATGCATCACTGCTAGTAATTGTCTGGGGTAGTCAAAGAACTATTACTTTAATAAAAGAATCAATATTTTTCCCACACAAGCACTAAATGCACAACGCCCTTTATCTAGAGTTTCAAGCGTCTGTTGATATTCATAGATATCCAAGTACGAAAGATATTTCAAGTGTACAGTTTTTAGTCAATTTTATAGGAATTTTTGTTGTTTAATGTGATTATTTTTCGCTTCTGAATGACTGAATTTCAGACGACCAATCTTTCGTCGATCGCTGAAGACGTGCTTGAGTCGCGCAGAACGGCTGTCGGCTCTTTGCGTCAAGCTTCTGATATACGAAGAAACATAACTAACGACTTGCGCAACAGTCTACGAGCCGGCATTGCGGACATTAATACGCAGGATTCCTTCTTAAGCGAGTCACAGTTGGTTGTCAAGAATTTCTTCGACCGCGTCGACGATTTGGAAAGTAATTTGGAAAGTTTTGCTGATGCTATTGTTAACTTGTTTGCATTCCA